AGTGACACGTGACCTTCGGGGCACAGCTGCCAATGGGGAAGCCGGTCATGGGTGAGGGTCAGCTGCGGACGTCACATGAGGATCAGTGTCAAAGAAACCTGGCCAGTCGGTGCTCTTCTGATCCATTGAGAGCTAATCTCCTTAATGCTTGACCTTGTCTCCACTTTCTCTCTCGACTTCTCCTCTCTGGGGGGCGCTAAGGGTTGCTGAGGTGGGTCGGGAGGTGTGCTAGACATTGATCTGTGCTTCGGGGTTATCTCCCGAGGTCAAGTGTATCAGAGGGTCTGTTAATACGTTTGTGAGTCTCACTTGGAAATAAGCACACTGTTGTGCATTTGGAACCATGCTGTTTTCCAACATTAGCTGGGGCTGCTACATGAGTGGTGGTGATTCCTATTTCTCTCAGCTTTGCGATGGATGACACAACAGAGATCCAAGCCTGAATTCCCATCGTGGCAAGACGCAAGTTTGGGATCTGGAAACTGTTTCTGTAAAGGGCCAGATCCTAAGGATTTAGGCTTTGCAAAGCCACATGCAGTGTCTGTGGCATACCCTTCTCCATGTTTCTTTCTTTTTATAATATGCAAAAACTGTTCTTAGCATGAGCGTTGTAAGTGGAATTTACATGGGTTGTAGTTCGCTGAACGCTTAACTGCAAGAAGGATGGATGCTGGTTAACTGGGACCTATGGTTAGCCTAAAGGGTAACTGCTACCTACCCAGCTCCAGCTGCTATAGCCGGGATGCCTCCCATGGTCCTAGTTGGAGCTCTGATGGGTGCGCCTTCTCTCTCCTGCCTCCCTCTTTATCCGCCTTCCAGACCTGCCCTGTTGCCTTTCTCTACTTTTCTCTCCTTATGATGCCATTCAAAATTTCAGTGTGGTTTTAATCCTTCATGTATTTTCTTCACCGCCCCCCCCCCGACACACACATACACACTGCTCATTGTGTGTATTTCTAAGACAGTCCTGTAAGGCAGGTTTAAGGACGTTTCATCCACATATACTGAGCCGTCTCCTTGTGTCAGACACACACGAAGGGTACAAACATGAGTGGCCCATGGTCCCTTGGAGAAATGATGGCTCAAAGGCTGTTGTCAGAAAGAATTCTACTTGGTGCACTAACATCATCCCGGAGACTGGAAAAGTCACCGCACTAGGGGAGATGTTTCACCTGCTTTTCAAGGGAGAGTACAGAAAAGTAGGTGTAGACCTTGAAGGGCTTCCAGACAGGGGCAGGTGCAGCTCACACACGGAGGAGGGGGCAGGAAGGGGGCTCATCGCTGATCTGGCCACAGGGAGTCCAGTGTAGCTTCAAGGTAGTGATAGGGTGGGGAAGACCCAGGCCTACGCCTCACAGGCTCATTTCCTCAGCAGGTAGGCGGTGAGAGGCATCCTCAGGTGCCCTAGACTTGGGCACTGCATTACCATAAAAAAGAGTGGGTCTACGGCTTCCAGAAGCTTCCATCTGGGGATTCTCACTGCTTAAATGATGACCTCATTTCTTCAGGGAAAGA